ATTAAAAGGAAAAGTAGACTCTGAATACTATGCAATATGGGGGAAATGGTACCATTGGATAGATAATAGAAACAATCAAACAAAGTGCATACAATAAATGTAGAAAGTATAGAAATAGAAAATATAGATTGCATTGGACATGATATGTAAATGTATAAAAAAATCTCATAGTTCTGTTTATTAAGTGATTGAGATGTGTAAGAAAAAAATCCAATAAAGTATTTCTAAAAAAAAATATTTTTTTTAGATGCTTGGCAACTGGTTCATATTTATGACAGTCACATGATCCCTTTTTGCGACCGTCTGACAAGCAAAGTCAATGGGGAAGCCAGATTCACTTAACAACGGGGTTGCTAACTTATCCACTGCAGTGATTCACTTAACAACGGAAGCAAGAAAGGGGCAAAACTCACAAAATGGGGCAAAACTCACTTAACCAACGTCTCACTTAACCACATAAATTTTGGGGCAAATTGTGGTCCTAAGTTGAGGACTATCTGTACAGAAGACAGAGAGGAAGGTGAAAATGTTAAGCTCTTATAGGTCATCGTTGCTGGATGCGGCTGAGAAATTCACAACAAAACCCCAAATCTGCTGGACAAGACAAGAGAAAAGCACCAAGAGGAGAAATCTCCTTCTAGCCAACCCTCCAACCTTGGGATGCTGGGGTCCCAATTCGTATTACTTGACTGCTCTGAAGAGCTGTTTCATTCTCAAAGACCTCCTGATGTCAACTCATAAAATATTTCTCTGGTCTTTTTAGAGTTGCCAACAGAAAGTGAGAGGGGAGCAATGCAGAAGCTTGCAAAACCGAAAGTGCGTTCCATAAATGTTTTCAAAGATAGTAACTAAGTAACCGAAGTTTCTGCCTTGCAAACATCTAACTGGAGAGCATGATTGATGACTCTTGACTATGGATGTGTCCCATTGGAGAATATGAATTACGATACACCCAGGGGGTGGGGAAAAACCAGGGTCAAGGGTGACAATGAATGATATGTCTCAGAGTCGGCTACACCCAGGCAGTGCCGGACATTTTAACTCCAATAAATCCTTTTGAAGTTTTGGAAGTTTGGCTCGAGACTCATGGTTTAAATGGGGGGGTAACCGCCGGAATCCTGACACCTGATCTGGGAATCAGTTCTCCAGGGATCAAGACCCCATAAAATGAAGTGAGAATATGAGCAGACTTACAAATGGCTTGCTAAGTGATCGTTCAAACTTACAACAGCCCTGAAAAAAAGTGACTTAGGATTGTCACAATCATTGTAGATTTCCCCATGGTCACCTGATCAAAATTCGGATGCTTGGCAACTGGTGCATATTTATGACGATTGCAATGTCCCGGGATCACGTGATCCCCTTATGAAGTCTTCTGATGAACAAAGTCAACAGGGAAGTCTGATGCACCGAGCAGCCACGTTACCAACTTAACGACTGCAGTGCTTCACTTAACATCGGTGGCAAGAAAAGTCATAAAGCGAGGCAACTCTCAATCCCACCTAGCAACAGAAACGGTGGGCTCAATTCTGATCGTACTTTGAGGACTACCTGTATCAAAATATTTTCTCCTATGTTTCCTCTTTACACGTGACTTTTGCGTGACTTATCTGATCTCTTTACACGTGACTCTTGAAGAATTAGGGAGGGACATGATAGCAGTATTCTAGCCTTTGAGGGGCTGCCACAAGGAAGAGGGAGGTAAACTCCAAAGCACAGAAGGCAAGACAAAAAGTAACGGATGGAAGCGCATCAAAGAGAGATTCAACCTAGAACTAAAGAGAAACTTCCTGATAGCAAAGACAATTAACCAGTGGAACAGCTTGCCTCCAGAAGTTGTGGATGCTTCATACCACTAGAGGTTCTGAAGAAGAGGATTGGTCAGCCGTTTGTCTGAAATGGTTTAGGGCATGGGTCTTCCAACTTGGCAAGTTTAAGACTTGCAGACTTCAACTCCCAGAATTCCTGAGTTAACATTACTGGAGGAGGAATTCTGGGAGTTGAAGTCCACAAGTCTAAAAGTTGAGGAATTCTGGGAATTGAAGGCCACAAGTCTTAAAGTTGAGGAATTCTGGGAATTGAAGGC